TTTTAGCCTACCGGGTCCGGGGCCCGAGCCGCGGTCGACTACGTGGGAGTCCAGCAACATAGCCATTACGCTAACTACTGGTTCCCAATCCTTGCTTGATTTTTAAATAAAACTCTATGTGAGTGAAAAAACTTGAGTTTCTGTGTTTTTCTTAGTTTAAAATTCTGATTATTGGGAGATTTCTGTAGATTATTTAAATTGATGATAATGCCTTGGTAAGTATTTCTCGCCTGTCATAATTTGATGCTCCAGATAGGATGACAAACTTGTCTAGGTTTGCCAGGTACTTCCTAGTTTTAGTTCTAAAAACCTTGTATCCCAGGAACCTCCCATTCTTGCTGAACTAATAGGATTACTCATCTAGGTGCAAAAAATAATTAATGTTTTGTTTTATTAGATATATTATAGAGGTTCTTTCAATTTTAGGGAAACCAGGAGATGAAGGGTCAAGTAAAAAAACTGAAGTAGGATTGTCATGCTGTTGTACATGCCATTCAAAGAATTTTACAAACAATGACATGGACCAAGGAACTTCACCTCATTTTATCGGTCCAAGCACACCACCTTCTAAAAGAAGTGGCACTTCCTCAACTTGTCAAGGTAATTTATATTTTGCCTGGGTTTCTTGGTTTATATAATTAGGGACTTCAATTATTTGGTTGTCAGAAAAATCATGACTCATTTTGCATAGAAAAACATGACTTTTCCAATGACGCAATAGTACTATGATAAGACTTAATTTAAATAAATTTGATTAGTATGATTAGTTATGTATCTCTACCTAATTTCTCTAAAAGTACTTTAAAATAAAGCAGAGAGACAGAAATGAGTACCTGTGACAGGGTTTTGTAATGCCGTGATACTGCTACTTGCTTCCAGCCAGGCAGGATAATACATGTTTCAGTAGATCTGTGATCTGAACCACAGTCCTTCATGTGGTTTTAGCATTGCTGAGTTGGACTCTCTACTTGCTACTTGCACCTTCTGTACAATAGGTCACACTGATCATCTTCCTCTAGTTCTCTAGCCTGCCAGAATCTTCACCACATGCACAAGTGCCTGGCATGTTTTCAGTTTGACTGAGTCGGGAAAGTAAGCCATGGTTGGCATGTGGCTTCCAGCTCTTGCCACAACTTGCATTTTAACATGATTGTGAGTCAGAATTATTTAGAATAGCCTAAGTGTTATAAGTCTGGATTATATTCTGATACTGTCTTTATAAATGAATTTTTTTGAGAGATTTTTGCTACAGGGCGTGTGCATTCGCCAAAGAGACAGAGACAGAGAGACAGAAAGCTAGAATTCATCCCTCAGAGAGAGATTGCAATGCTGCAATCCCTTCATCTCCATTCTTCTCTCGGGATTTTGGGCACGCGTTTATATGTGCCCAGCATGAATTTCAAGCTGCTGGGTCCAGTACTCAAATTGTGGTCAGCTGCTTGTCAGTCCAGCCCTTAACCACTTTGTCACCTGCTGGTCCCTATAAGTGACCTTTTTTAAAAAATATTTATTTATGGGAACCAGCAGTTAGCGTAATGGCTATGTTGCTAGACTCCCACGTAGTTGACTGCGGTTTGCGTCCCGGACCTGGTGGCTTAAAACTCACGCCGGGCACGTGTGTGTGCGTGCCCAAGATCCCGAGAGGAGAATGGAGGAGAAGGGATTGTGGCGTGACCATCCCCCCTGGGGGGTGATTTCTTGCTTTCTGTCTCTCTGTCTCTCTCTGTCTGTTTGGTGAGTGCACGTGCCCTATAGCGAAAAAAAAAATTATTTATTTATTTTGGAGAGTTTTTTGCTAAAGGGCACATGTGCTCGCCAGAAAGGCAGAGAGAGACAGAGACAGAAAGTGAGAAATCTCCCCCCAGGGGGTATGGCCACGCCGCAGTCCCTTCTCCTCCATTCTTTCGGGATCTTGGGCACGCACACCCATGTGCCTGGCCCAAGGTTGAGTTTAAGCCACTGACCAGGGTCCAGGACTCGAACCATGGTCAACTACATGGGAGTCGAGCAACATAGCCATTACGACAATTGCTGGTCCTAATATAAGTGACTTTTTAAAAATAAGATATCTGAATAGAGAAAAGTATAAATTGTAAGTTATAGCCTGGTGGATTTTCACAAAATGAAAATACTCATATAACTACTGCCTTTGTAAAAATGAGATATTCCAACATCTAGAGGCCTTCCTCGCATGTAATTACTAATTCTTCTCACCATAGGTAATTATTGTCCTCCTGTCACCTCTGATAAATTTTATATCTCTATAGAAATAAAATTATGTGTATTTTTTTAAAGATTATTTTATTTTATTTGTTATTATTTATTTTTTAATTTGACCACAGACAGAGAGAGAAAGGGAAAGTGAGAAAGCTAGCCACTAGGTCCAGGACCCAAGCCACGGTCAGCCATGTGGGAGTCCAGCACCTTAACCACCATACCACCTGACAGCCCCTGCGTCTGTCTTCTTTAGTTTGACATTGTATTGTGAGATTCATCCATGCTGTTGCAGATAGTAGTACTTTTTCTGTATGTTGTTTCCTTCTATGAATGTGTCACAGTTTTATTAATCTGTTCTGCTGTTAAATAGTTGGGTTTTTCCTCCTTTTGTTTAGTAATGCTATTATGAATATTCTTTTTTTATTTCTCTTTTTTTAACTTAATTTAATTAATTTATTTATTTTAATTTGCCCAGAGAGGGACAGAGAGAGAGAGAGAGAGAGAGAGCAAGCAAGCCGCCAGGTTCAGGACTCGAACTGTGGTCGGCCATGTGGGAGTCCAGTGCCCTTAACCACCATGCCACCTGCTGGCCCCTATGAATTTTCTTGATCTTATGGTACAAACTGGTAAGTATTTTCTATTAGTTACATACCTAGAATGGAATTATTGGTCCTATTTGGTACATGGCAGTTCAGTTTTTCTGGTATTTCCTAGCTTTTTATTGGGCTCATGCAAATTTTCTTCTTGGCTTATTTGGGATAGAATTTCTCAACAGTGGCATTATTAATGCTTCAGTGGGATACTTTTATGTTGTGGGAGCTGTCCTTTGTATTATGAAAGGTTTAGCAACATCCCTGGCCCACTAGATGCTGTGGTACCCTCCCACCTTTGTAACAGCAAAAAATGTCTCCAGATACTGCCCAGTTACCTAATGTGGGCAGTGTGATTTTAAAATCACTGGTTGAGAATCACTGATCTAGGTTCGTTTTGTGATTGTGATTTACTGGTTTGGGTGAAAATCGCAGAAGTCAAAATGCACATATCTTATTGCAATAGCCAAAACACTTTTGAAGAAGCAGGTTGAGAGATTTGATCTACCAGATGTCCTGATTTATTGTATATAAAACTATAGTAATTAATTAAGACAGTTTGATGTCTAGCTGCAGTGGCATAGGCTGCAAAGATGTTAAGCTCTGGAGGCTGAGACCATGTAGAAAGCCCAAGTTCAATTCCTGGTGCAACCTAGAGTCTGAGCCTAGTTGTATATGTCTAATCCCAGTAACTTGGGAGGCTGAGGTTAGAGGGTGTTGTGACACAATGAGACCCTGTCTTTAAAATGAAGACAGTAAAAGCTGGCCCCATGATATAGTAGATAATGGAGCCAGATCCCACACAGCCAACTGTGGTTCAAATCCTGGCCCTGGTGGCTTGAAAAACATACTGGGTGTATGTGGGTGCATTCCATCACTTCCTGAGAGGATGGAGAAATGGAGGAGAAAGGATTGTGATATTATTATTCTCCATGGGAGTCCTTTCTTTCTCGCTCTGTTTCTCTGTCTCTGTATCGTTCTCTGACCAGTGCATATACCTTCTAGCAAGAAAAAGAAAGGCAGCCTGAAATTAGTACAATGTTAGACCAACCTAAAAGTGTAAAGAACCAAATTCAGTCCCAAAGGAATCCAGAAGCTTACTGTTTGTGTGTGTGTGTGTGTGTGTGTGTGTGTGTGTGTGTGTTTGAGAGATTTTTGCTAGAGGTTGTGTGTGCTTGCTGGAAAGATACAGAGAGAGAGAAGCAGAATGTGAGAAGTCTCCCCCCAGGGAGGATGGCTATGCCACTGTCCTCTCTCCTCCATTCTCCTCTTGGGATCTTGGGCACGCATGCCCATGGTGCCTGGTGTGAGTTCTAAGCTGCTGAGTCTGGGACTCAAACCACAATCGACTGTGTGGGAGTCCAGTGATGTAACCATTATCTCATCTGCTGGACCCAGAAGCTTAGTGTTTTTATAGAATGCTCCTATAGAGCATAGGGGAAAGGAGAGACTTTTCATAAGTGATATTGGAACTGGACTGTTAGATTTAGAAAAGACAGAAATTAGATTCCTACTTTATATCATACACAAAAATCCATTCTTGGTATACTAAAGATCTAGGTATGAAAGGCAAAACTATTAGGTTGTCAGGAAAGTCATGACGTATTTTTCTATGCAAAACTGTATCCTGACTTCCCTAATAATCCAATACTAAGAATTTAGAGGGGCCAGTAGGTGACATGGACTCCCATATATCCAATCGTGGTTCGAGTCTCAGGCCTGGCAGCTTGCTTTCTTACTTTCCCTCTCTCTGTCCCTCTCTAGTTAATTAAAATAAATAAATAAATAAATAAATTTAAAAATAAGTAATTATTTTTAAAAAAGGAATTTAGAATATAGTGGCTTTCAAACGATATTCCCAAGAGCCTTGGGAGAAACACGGCATTTAAG